TTATCTGGCCTGGGAGCGCCTCGGGGTCCCCCAGGAGGAGCTGGAGAGCGTTGCTGGAGGGAGGAACGTCTGGGGCGCTTTGCTTGGCCTGCTGCCTTTGCAGCCCTTGGCCCCAGATAAGCAGATGAAAATGGATGGATGGATGAATGGACTAATTGCTGCAGCTCTAATCTGATGCCGCTTCTAGTTTTACCCATACACACCTACATCAGGTGGGAATACAGCGTGTTCCTCAAGCACACTTTGACATATGAACAGGAGGAGCTAGGGATCAAACCACCAACCCTACATTCAATGGGCATGCCCCTCCGCTGGCTAAGTTATCCATATATTATGTGAAATGGTGCTGACATATTTGCTGAGTCATAAATCAGTTTAAGTGCTGACCTTATTAGCGCCATTGGCTATTTTTAATAAAAGACGGTGTTCATGCTGTGACATCTGCAGCTCTGTTGTTATGTAAGAGGTCATCAGACCATTGTAATAGGATTAGGAGGTGTCAAGGTGTCATACTTCAGTCCCACATCAGGAACCTGACATCTATGTCTTTAAAAACAACTGTATAATTATTCACCAACACTATTCTTGTGACCAGAACAAGAGGCAGTTGTGGAGAAAGCACAGCAGCCACGCTGTGTGAAAGTCATCACCACCTCTCGTTGTCACACTGCAGCTGCCACGATGTGAGCCAAGTTATTTCAGGTGGCCTTGGACAGGAGGGAAGTAGCCCTAACTGTAGATTGTTAGAAAGCAAGAGTTTCCTCCTAATTGGAGTGGTGGATGGGAAGGTTCCACGATCCCCCCGGAGGTGTTTAGGCTTTCTGTAATTGAAAAGGAAAGGCTACGATAATTCCTGGCCTTCTGTGGTTTACTCCACAGGGCCCTCGAGCCAGCGCTGTGACGTGCGCACATGTTATTGCGCTGATGACTACCCACTCGGGTTCCATCCCTCCCTTCGATCTGCACGTAGCCGTGCCTTCCAGGAAAAGTACAACGTTCTCACGGGCTTGCCTCAAGCAGGGGCCCCAGAGAGTGAGAGGAAGATGAGGGGAGGAGAGGGGGCTTGGGCTGCAGCGCTGCCACCGTCCACCACAGCAGTTTGTAATTGAAGACTACTGAATCCTACAAAGACCAGACACTCCACAGACAACTGCTGCCTTCCACCAAATACGCAGTTTTCAGTCTTTATAGAAAGCAGCACATGACAAAAAAACCAATTCCAATCTACAGGTGTGCCCGGCCGTATGCAGTCTAATAAGACAAATTAAGCCAACCACTGTGCACTAAATAAACTGATTTACTGCTTGTTAGAGAATTGAAAAACTTGCTGTGGCATGGCCGATTGCAAAGACAAGTAACAGCCTTATTTAATTACATTTTTGGTCCCTGCTATTGCACACATGTTGTGCCTGCACAGCGACCAACCAATCACAGTCCTCCTCAGAGCAGATTTGTTGAGCATACAATGGAAAACTTAAGCCTACAAGGAGTGAAGAAGAGCTGTTGTGGAAAGAAAATGTTACATCTGCTATTTGGAAATATTTTGGTTTTAAAAAAAGATGATGTGGAACAACAGCAGGGACTTTTTCTCTCTGTCCAAATGGAGGTCAAGAAAAAAAGCTACACAGTATTTTCTGAACTCGTGTAGTTACATTTATTTTTGCCAACATTTTAGAACACAGGAGTTCAACCTCTACTGGTGTCATGACTAACCAGTAGGGGTCACTAATGACAAGGATAAGAACCCTCACCGGCTTCCCACCTATTCACAGCCAAGCTGAATATGCAGCTACTGGGAATCACACTACTCTTAGCTGGTGGGCGAGAACTTTGCCTCCATTTTTTTCAAAGATGTTTTTTTTTGACATGTTGGGAAATATGCTCATTCACTTTAAGTCTTGTCATCACTGTGATGTTGCCAAGCAAACAAAGGAAGAAGTCACAGGGACTGAGACATATTTCACAAACAAGATATAACTTGAGAAAGCTTATGACATGCTTGTAGGCCAATTTTTTAACTTTGGACAGAGCCAGGCGAGCTGTTTCCCCTGTTTCCAGTCTTGTGCTAAGCTACGCTAACTGGTGGCTAGCTGGAGCTCTTGACATGAGAGCGGCAGCAATTTTCTCATCAACTCTGAGCAAGAAAGCAAATAAGGTTGCTTTTGGTGGAAAACATTTGTGCTGGGCTTCAGATGTCAAATGTTGATGCGACTAAAGAAGTTCCATACTTAAAGATGCAATATATGACATCACTGGCTAGTTAATTGCTTTACCACTGATAATGTTGTCGTCGCAATAGGGATGTGTGTCAGTCCTCGATACCTCTGAGGTATTGACTGAAATAACCCAGTACAAAGAAGTCTAAGCGTCTGCAGTCAAACAACCCGCATTCAATTCCTTTTGCCAGGTGGTCATCTTGGACTGTCCCAACTCCCCGCAAGGTCGGCAAATTTTCTGTTGCTGCCGTCTCTAGAGCCGCTTTCCTTTAGTTGAACGTCTGCCCAGTTACCATGAGCTAACGCAGCAGCAGAGGCTAACATGTGACAACAAGCTGTTTAAGGGTCCTAACAAACTCACACTGACAGCAAAATGGGTCGACTCTGTTATCGATTACTGTAACCTGTTAATAAACGTCAGGCAATGTTAGGCTTACTATTAGCATCACATGGCTATCAGTAGGGATGTTGCGATCCAACTTTTTCACTTTCGATCTGATACCGATACCACAGCCCTAGTATCCGATACCGATCCGATACCAGCGCATATTTCTATCTGTGTTCTGACCAATAGGTTCACTTTTTTTAGTACTTTTTTTGTAATGTGGAATAATAGAAAAGGCTTGATCAAGTGCTATTACTCAAAGTGAGAATAACATACTCCCCGAGATGAAAAGTGCAGTCTTTTTCGCTTTTCTGAAGGAAGTACTGCCACACCACTGACATTTTTTTCAACTATCCACACTGTTTTTCACCCCGTTGTTGTTGTCATGTGACCTCCCCGTCCGGCTTTCCTCTCTTCTTCATGTGTTACAATGAAGTGCTAGATGGAAAAGCTAGAGCGGATTTGTGGAATGGAGTGCTAGTATCGCAGTGCTAGTATCGCACTTTTCCCCTGCAGTGCGATCCGATCCACGTTTTTTGGCTGGATTGCAGCATATTTTCGATCTGCAATCCGGATCGCAGCATCCCAACCTATCAGTGTGTGTACAGCCAGGCGGACTCTTGCAACTCCAGACACGGAGCTCGCACTCCCCCAGCAGTAGCTAAAACCCATACAGTTTGTGGCGTGGTGAGGTTAAGAGTGGTGTGTTTGATACTTATTTTTGAGTTCAGTATGTCACCAAAATGAGTATGGCTACTACATGCCACTGCATTTACATCATAGTAACCCCCAAGGTTAACCCTGTTAAGCCCAGTATACACTGCGATTTTAAGCTGTTCCAGACGAGAGATGACTAACATGAAAGAAACATGCTGATATTCTTAGTTGTGGCTCTAAAACAGTGGACCTACGTTGCACAGTGAGAGAGGTTCAAGGATGGTTGCTGTCACGGCGTTGTGATCAAGACAGCCTGGGATAAACTTCTGACAGTGTCAGAAATTTGGGATGACCATCTCACAATGTGACTGCTGTCACTACCTACGTCTGTTAACCAACCATTAGAAATGCAGCATGAAGTGACGCACTGATGAGCGTGACAATGCTAAATGCTAATAGATGCTAATAAATACACTTTAAGCTCTTGTTGCAAAATTGGCCTCCAAGTTGGCCTCCACCTCCTCCTCTTCTTCAAACTTTTTCGACACATAAATGCCACTTTAGAAGGGCTCGATTCTTATTCTTAGCGGCGTAGAGGGATGACACATACTGATGACGCTTTGTCCTTGCGTATTGACATCGATGGACGTACATTGTAGCCTGCAATTCAGTAGGCGCTGTCTTTGACACAGTCTTTAGGAGGCTGTAGCTCTGTCAGCAAAGTTGCCATTGTTAGCACTGTTTGCATTGTTAAAACTGTTAGCTGCTAGCCGCCAGCTCAGCCACCTCCATATTGAGAACCTTGTGCAGACAATCCTGGCTCAGACTCTGAATCATGAATATGCTCTGAATGTCCTATGCAGCAAGTTAGTTCCTCTACCCAGAGTTCTCCTGTTTCACACAGAATTTGTATCAATGTTGTGTTTTTGGGTTTCTGTTGAAGTGTACTTTGTGGTGATATAACAGACAAAGGGATAAACTCCTGACTCTCTCTTGTGCTACAACAATAATCACAGTGCTCTGCAACAACACAGCTGACATTCACTGGTGTTTCCCTTTTAATAGTGACTTGTATTGTGTTACCCAAGATTGTTGGAGATCAATAAAGAAAATGGCTTTGACATTAAATTTAAAAAAGCAAAAAGAGCCAGAATGTTTTCCATGCTTTCCTCCAAAGTACAACACTAATTTGTAGGGTTAGAAGGCCTATCCTAATATAATCTAATCTACTGTAGCAGTAATACCCCGAAGCACGTTAAGGGTGTTTGTAGTGACATCATGCCAAATCCATCTGTGCCTGCGACTGAAAATGTGTGAACCGCTGTCTGTTTATTCTGGTGATATGTGTGTGTTTTTCTTGTCATAAGTGAGTTAGTGTAATTGTGTGAATAATTGCAGCCGCTGGTGTATACTACGACTGATTAGAGGGAAAGTCCTCTGCCTGGCTCTGCACAGGTTTTTGCACAGAGACATGCGTAAATGGCGTGAGGAATCTTGTTTTTCTCTGTGTTTATCTTAGCTTGCAATTAGAATCTCCCTGGCAGCGTTTCTACTGATCGCTGTCCAAGTTTCTACCACACACACTGACAATCTCATCCAGAGGTGTCAGTCTAGGGCGGCTGCAGGCATGCATGTAGGAAGAGATGTCATCTGTCATTGGGTCTATACAGTCTGACTCTTTTTTGATGTCTCTCTCTTTGTTTTTATATCCTCCCTTTCTTTTCCTCTTCCTCTCTCCCTCTCTGCAGATTTTGCACCGCTGCAGCTGACAGAAAGCTACGCCTGCTGACTTCTGATCTTCAGGATAGACATGAAGTCAAGGTAGTGCAACATCTGGAGCGCATTGGCCAGAACTGCGCTTGTCGGTTGGCATCAAACTTTCTCTACTTAGCACTGACATTTGGTACTTAGTGATACAGGAAATGTAGCCGTACACACAGAGAGCAGAGCTGCAGCCAGCGTAGTGAGCCCAAGTTTGCTGGAAAGGCCAAGTTAACAGTTTATTGATCAACTGTTTTTGTTTACGTGTTGTTTTTCTGTACTGTTGCCTAGGTGATGGAGGGCCACACTAGCTTCATTAACCATTTGGTGTTCGAGCCCACAGAAGGGAAACAAATTGCTTCCGTCAGTGATGACCACACTTGCAGGTCCAAACCGTTTTATTTCCATTTGTGTGTGTGTGTGTGTGTGTGTTCCCAGCTTCTGATTTTCAGTTCTGTTCTCTGTTAATGGTGCAGAAAGTCCTGACTGTGTTTCCACAGTGAAACATGATGCTAAGCACAACATGCGCTGGTGTGGCTGTGCGTAAGCACAGAGCTGCTTTGTAGCTTTTCTAGCTAATTGGTTAAATATGGAAATCCAATTAGCTGCAGAAAGATTTTCCTCTCTAAGGGGGACCTATAACAAGGTCCCCAAATTTTCCTTTTCAATTAACGCTAGGGGAGGGAAAAAGTGTGTCAGTAGCCAGGGTCATGTCAGGGACAACCTCTCTCTACATCAGCAGGCTGGTTCTCCTGCAGCTGTGTTACAGCACTGGGCCCCTGCTCTTTTATTGTTAATGCACAGAAAGTGTATGAATTATTTTAAGTAGTTTTGATACTTTTAGATTTGAAGCAAAAGTTGCAAGCAGGTGAAGACGAGGGCTGTAGCTAACAGGTATTTTCCTTACGGTTAATCTGCTGATTTGTTTTGTCAATTAATCGTTTTTAAAGAACAGTGTTAGAAAATAGTGGAAAATGTGGATCAAAGTTTCCCATGGTCAAAAGAGATGTCTTCTTGTGGCTTCTTCTGTCTGAGCAACAGTGCAAAACCAAAATATTCAGTTTAGGATGATGCAAAACAGAGAAAGAGAGCCAATCATAACAGTCAAAACAAACCTAAAACATTAATCGGATAGGGCTGCCCCTTAAAAAAGGAAAACCCAATAAATAAACAAAAGAAAACACAGTCTTTAATTTAAAATCATTCAAAATTAGTCTGTGTCGCCTAATCATAAATGACGGTAGCATCCATAGCCAGGTAGTCACATCAAGCGGTGACATTAACAGTCACCAGCTTGATGATCGTCCTGTCCTTCTCAGTGCCTCGTCCTGCCACATCAGGCCATCTGAGTCTCCTCCACTCCCGTCCACTCTCCTCTTCCCCAGCCTCCGTTGACCGGCCAGAGAAAACAGCAGTGCGCTCCATCTGCTGAAAGATTTAAATTCTGTCATGTTGAGGAAAATATGGGACGCGGGAGGAAGACTAAGGCGGAACAAGGGATAGATCAAGTTAACAGGAGAGGACCTTCCAGTCAGCCCACACAAACTGAGCCTCGATATGAGAGGAGGAAACTAGTCCTGCAGAAAGGGAGGGAGGGGAGTGTTTGCCTGCATGTATAGGCTCATGACCTCTCCATCACTCTGTTAGGTTTGGCAGCGGTGCCTCTACTATAAGTTTGCTTAGCTTTGTCATCGCTGTCCCCTGCAGTTGTGGGAACTCGGCCGTTGCCAACATGCAACCTGATGCTGCAGCATCTAGGTGGGGAACCAGACTCCGCTCCCTCTGGGGAGTTTACATTTGGTTCATGTAGTCTAAACAGCTCATGGTATCAGTATAGATGGAGCTGGGCAAGTGTGGGTAAATGTGCCACCTAGAGATGTGAAGGGCACACTGCAGGATCCTAAGGGGATTTGGGGTCGACTGAGTTCGCAGATGAACTCAGAAAAACGCACACCTGCTGCTGCTGCTGCTGCTGCATTATGTATATGGTTCAAAGCATTTTGTTCTGTTCCCAGTGATAATCCGTTTGTTTTTTCTCAAGCCCTTATGTTGTGTAAGGGAAACAAATTACAGCGTGACATGCTTTCAAACTATCTTCTATCCCAAGTGTTCTTGGACTGACATACCCTCACAGCTCTAGTCCTCAGTCATCAACCCACCTGTCATGTTCTAAATATGCTCTTATGAATAGATTTTAACCTTTTATTTCATTCATGTTGGATATTTTTATAGAAGTTTTAATGAAATTAAACATTCAGTGTTTAGATAAATTGATAGTTGTCCATCAGGCCACTTTGAGGTAACTTTGTCAAGCATTTTCCATAACTTTTAGCTATGTTTCAACTGTTAAGCTATTACTTTTAGCTATCATCATCTATTTCAGCCATTAGCCATTACTTTTAGCCATCTGTTTAAATTATTTTGCTATTATTTTCTCAGAATTTTAAGTATTTATCAATTACTTCAAGTTATCGTTTCAATTGTCCATTACTTTTAGCTGTCTATGTCAGCCATAAGCCATTACTTTTTTTGTTTAAAATGCTTTGCTATTATTTTCTCTGTATTTTAAGCATTTATCAATTACTTTTAGCTATTTCAGGTATTTACCCATTACATTTAACTAACATCATCTTTTTCAGCTGTTTAGCCATTACTTTTAGCTAGCATTATCTTTGGCCATTTTAGCTATCTTTTAAACTATTTTACTATTATTTATTATGCATTTCAAGCATTTATAAATTACTTTTAGCCATCTGTGTCAGCTATATATCCATTAATTATAGCTAACGTTGTCTGTTTCAACTGTTGAGCCATATACTTTTAGCAATCTGTTTGAGCCATTAAAGTATTGTTTTAAGCTAGCATTATCTATTTCAGCCATTAGCCATTACTTTAGCTATCTGTTTTCAGCTATTAAACTATTAGTTTTAGCTTGCATTTAGCTATGAACCATTAATTTTAGCTATCTGTTTAAACTGTTTTGCTAGTATTTTCTATGTATTTAAAGCATTTATCAGTTACTTTTAGCCATATCAAATATTTACCCATTACTTTGAGCTAACATTATCTGTTTCACTTGTTTAGCAATTACTTTGAGCTTTCTATTACAGCCTTTAAGCTATTACTCTTTGCTATCATTATATATTTTAGCCATTAGCATTTAGCTATCTGTTTAAAGTTGTTTGCCATTATTTTTATGTATTTCAAGCATGTATGAACTACTTTTAGCTGTCTTTGTCAATTATCTATGCATTACTTTTAGCTTTATCCTTTTCAGCTGTTTAGCCATTTATTTCAAGCATTTAGCTGTTATTGTAAGCAAACGTTATCTGTTTAAACTGTCTAGCCATAACTTTTAACTCTCTGTTTCAGCCATTAAATTACTATTTTTAGTTAGCATTATGTTATCAGCCATTGCTTTAGCTATCTGTTCAGGTTGTTTTCACTGTTTTCCACATAATTCAAGCATTCATCAATTGATTTTAACTGTCAACTATTTATGCATTACTTTAAGCTAGACTATTATTTTACTTTAAGCTAGACTATTATTTTCTGTGTTTTTCAAGCATTTTTTAGCTATTTAAACCATTAATGCATTCAGCTACTTTTAGCTATCTATTTCAACCATTAAGCTGAAGCTTACTTCATCTATCTTACTTAACTGCTTATTATTAACCGCTGTATTACTTTTAGCTTTATGTTTTAACTATTTTGCTGCTATTTTCTATGTATTTCAAGCATTTATCCATCACTTTGAGCTAACGTTATCTATTTCAACCTTTAAGCCAACTTTTGGTCGTCTGTTTCAGCCGTTAACATTTACTTTTAGCTAACTGTTTCAATTGTTAAGCTTTATATGTTTGGTTATCTATATTAATCACTTACCCATTTCTTTTAGCTTACTATTTCACGTTCTCTGCTTGCTTGCTAACTGTTTTCTGCACACTCTCAATCACAACACTTGGTCTTTGCATTGCATATATTATTAACGTTAGCATCATACCAATTTGTAATCCTGTGTTATGTGTTCATTTTCCTTCTTCAGACATATAAGGTGGATATAGTTATTTAGTTGAGCTACTCCACAGTCTTTCCACGTGCTGTATACTCTGGCAACCATACAAGTAACCCCTGGGGTACAAGTTTTCTTGGTTGGGACTCACTGTTCTATCCCATAAGCCAAGCTTGTACATTTGTATATATTTATCTTTACTCGGCTTTACAAAGGGGTCCCTGAACTCACCAGGTGTATGGGAAAAACATGCCAACCCAATAAACATGTCAGATGGTTTCATGTTGGTTCGTCTAAATCAAATGTTGAACAGGTCCTGTTAAAGTAGATGCTGATGCAATCATTGTGCACCTGAAAGAGCGACCCCGCAACGCACTGTGATGGGATTATATTGTTTGACTCTTCCAGTTCTCTCCCTCCAGAGAATCACCTCCAATTATTTACTCTGCTCTCTACAATAAATCAGATCACACAGCGCTAACGGCATTTCCCGTTTCCTCCACTTATGGGAAACATTGACAAACTGTAACGCTCTGGCCACGCTGTTTTCTCACTTAGATAACACAATACAGGACTTCAGGTGTCCTTTTCAACTCTGTTGTACATGGAAGCGGAGTGTTATTGCTTGATGTAGTGTTATGCAATTACACAGTGTTTTATCAGAGGCGGTCACGCATGTTTTCGTGTCTCATGTCTTTCACCTCATTTGGCGAAGGTTATGTTTTTTTGGGGAGCCGGTGCTCTCTGTTTGAAGGGCAGAGTGGTTGACCACAGTTTGGCCGTTGGTGGTGTAGCGTGCAATTGAGCTCTGCTTGGCTAGTGGTCTGAAAGAATAGGGTTTAGTCGTTGTTTTCCTGGTGTGGTCTGGGGGGTTTTCTTTTTTTTCTGCTCAGCCTCACTCATGCTCCACGGTGGAGACTCTGGCTGAGTCTGCACATGGGCAAAGGAAAGAAGCCCAGAGTTTCGACAGGGCTCTATCCTGCTGCAGGGGAGATGAGGCAGGAAAAGTTGAGTGTTTACTGAGGTCTTCATCTGAGACGGGGCATATCCTCCCCTACACCGCACCACTGAGGACATCAATCTCTCCAACAACACACTTGACATTTAGATGGTCTTTGGAGGTACTTTTTGGGCTTTATTAGATGATGTCTTCTGCATGACCTCATCAGTCAGCGCCTTCCCATGCTTCACAAGCGTTTGTTTAATATTCCCAGAAACACTTGCAGCCCCCCACCCCTGTGCCCCCTTCCCCACCTTTTCTTCTCGTTCAGAGATCGTTTAGATGTGGTTAACCAGAGATCCAGGTCTCAAGACCCGCAGTGCTCTCCGTCCAAGTGATTCATTACATCCGTGGTCTTTCTCAGCTGCTTTTTCTATCATAGATCTTATTAGCTTTAGAATCAACTATTATTTAAATGGAGATTGGTCATAATCCTCACACGAGCTTTGGTTCTTGGTTGGCATTTGCTTGCTTGTTTCATTTGCACAAAGTCGGATGCTGTTCAACTTCTCTCCGCTGCTCTTCCTCAGCTGACGTGCATCCTGCTGCCCTCTCTGCACTCCACAGAAAGTGAATGGCAGCGGGCCGCCCACAGCGAAACATTTGCTGTAATGTGAGTGGAGCGTAACGCCGACTAAGGCGAGGGTGATGCCCCCCTCCTTGCCATCCCCCTCCTGCCCTGATATCATAGCTCAATGTAATGTGAGGCTGGCGTTTTCTGTGAAAGAGCAGTTCAGCATAAGTCTGTCCGTCTTCACAGCTCAGGGCCCAGATCTGAGAAGAGAGCCCTTTTCCCTGGAAAAACATGAAGACCATGAACAACTCTTGTGCACAACAAGCAGAAGTTAGATCAATTAGGAGCAAACATGCACTTGGATGAAAACATGTCGTCTATCATTGCTCACGCTGTCTGCCATTAAAACCTCATAGTCATGTCTTGTTTTGAAAACTTGGGCTTAAACTCTGTCAGGAAGCATCAGAAGAAACAGATAAATGCCTTTTTTAAGAATACTTTGGCATTATGTAATGAGAAAACTTGCAGCCTTATACTGTTAGGATGGCGGCTGTATGTGTGTTACATTTAAACCACCTGGACAATGTCATTTTGTTTTGGCTCGAACGCCACAAAGGAACAAATCTTGGGAGGGTGAACTCTTCTCAGGTATTATGTAAGCGTCTCAGGGTGGCTCAAACGCCGATGCTATTTTTGGAACTGCTCTAAAACCCCATCTTTGTTGTTAATTAAGTGGATTTTGTTTTGGATTTTAGGCCAAGAGCAGTTCACACATCAAGTCGAATCAATCCGTAACATTACTAATGAGAACTGATTAAAAGTCTGGTGTTTGTTCACAATAATCCAGGAACTGTTTCTTGGGTTGCTTCTCACACTTTCAGTTTAAAATAAAACAGTTATACCTATAAAACTTAAGTTGTGCAAATGTAACGCTGGTACCAATGTACTAAAAGCATACTGGGTCATATAATCGCTCTTTTTCATCAACTTTATTTTCATTCATCTTGATTTATCTCCACAGGGTGTGGGACCTGGATGGAAATGAAAGCACTACTCTCAGACTCCGCTCTCCTGGGATGAGTGTGTGCTGGCACCCAGAGGAGGCCTTTAAGGTGAGGGGGGCTTTGTTTCAGATACAGGCTCGTATTCTAAGGTCAACCTCTTGAGATGTCTGTATGGAACTGCACATTGTATGCCAATCACAGTCAGGTGTGAGGTGAAACCAAGGTTCCTGTGGATTTTTAAAGTCTTTAAAGGCAGTGAATTCGTTAATATAAAAATACAGTTTTCATTGGTATTAAATTGTCTTAAATCAGTCTTTCAGAAGTCTTAAAATGCTAAGACATTGGAAGAGGATTTTATGAATCCTTTTTTACGAGTCCTTTTTAAATCTTATTTTGTTTAATAATTTACGGAATGCCTCTCGCATTAACATCTTGCAGAACAAGATAGTGGATCCAACAACCCTCAGATTTTGTCTGTGGTTGAGATGCTCAGAGCAGAGGATCCACTCTCTGCTAGCTAGTCATCACTGTACCCTGGACGACATGGGGAAGAGCAAATTCGACAAAAGTTGGCTGTTTAACCAAGATTATGCTGCATGGCTGAAACCGTTACAAGGCCATTGCCTGCATACAAGACTATTGTGTATTTTATGCAAAAAGTTTTTCATGCAAGGCACAATGGCCAAGGCAATGGGAATCAAGGCAATGAAATGCCACATGCAGAGTGAGAAACACAAAATTGCCAAGTCGTGTTTTAGGTTACAACAAACATTTGGGCAAAATTGTCCCCAATCTAACCTAATTGAGGTAGGTTTGGGGTTTTTTGTGTGTGTTTTGTTTTCTTCAGTTGTTGTTGAAAAATTGGTCTTAAATTTCATTACATGCAGCATTAAAACAGTTTTAAAATATCCTAAATTTAACTTGCCTTAAGGTGTAGGAATCCAAAGTCAAGACTATATTTTTCCTCTTACCTGTAGCGCTATTTATCAGTCTAGATTGTTTTGGTGTGAGTTCCCGAGTGTTGGAGCACCCTCTCTTCCAGAAATCATGACCTAGAAGGAAGTGTGCATCTGCTCATGGACGAGAGGCTTGTGCTAGTGACAGCATAGGATATAGACATTAAAGGAGAACTCCAGTATCCTTCACACTGGACCCTTTTTTCCCCATGTTTTTATGCCTCCGCGCTTGCGATAGCTTTGGCCAGAGGCATTATGTTTTCGGGTTGTCCATCCACCCATCTTATTCTGGTGAATGCGATATCTCAAGAACACCTCAAAGGAATCTTTTCAAATTTGACACAAACATCCACTTGAACTCAAGAATGAACTGATTAGAATTTGGCAGTTTCACACAAATGTCATATAGGATAAAATGAAGTGATGACATTTTATACCCAAAAGGTTAAAGGTCAGCTTCACCCTGACATAATTTTATATAAAAACACTTTTCTGGCCATTACTCAATGTCATATCTCAGGAACAGAAGGGGAGACATTTGGTCAGACACTGAATTGGTGACTCGCATCTTTGGTGTCCACCTTGAAACTGTTCCGATTGTATAGATCTTCTGAGCTGCTGGGGGGAAGATGTGTGAAGTATCCATGTTTTCACAGACATGGATGTAAACTGTGACTGCAACTTGACTGGTGTGTGGAGGCATGCAACCATAAGGCAGTACTCTCAGGAGAGACTCTTTGGGTCGAACCCTGCATGTAAATAAGATGAAATAAGACAGAACTTTATTTACTTAGAAGAAATTGTTACGCAGCTGTTGCATTAAAAAGTAGGAACGAGTGTGCTTCCTGGTGAGTTGTATATAGATATATGTGAGAAGTACAAATCTCAGGTACAGATAAGTGTCTACAGTAATTCTAAATGTTCAGTGATTATGTCTGTTACATTGATGTATCATGTCCCATCATGTCCTGGAAATCAGGATGTTGTAATTGTAATCCAGAAGAGATCTGAAATAGATGCTGGAGATGCACCCATGGAAGAACCATAAATACTGGTTTAAATGACCCGTCTGTCCTCTCTAGTTAATGGTGGCAGAAAAGAAGGGAACTATTCGTTTCTATGACCTGGTGGCCAAGCAGGCCATCCTGTCACTGGACTGTGGTCAGTCACCACTCATGTCAGCCGACTGGTGCCTCACGAACACAATCAAAGTTGGGGCCGTGGCGGGCAACGACTGGCTCATCTGGGACATAACTCGCTCCAGGTAACCAGGGGAGTGTGGGTAATATATAGTTGATGCTGCACGATGTATTGATTTGGGACGATGGCACGTGTGGGATGTGCTTTGAACTTTGTTTGTATTGTTTGCAGTTACCCACAGGAAAAAAGACCAGCCCACATAGATAAAGCACGGTTATTCAGGTAAGAGAAATGTTACAAGGAAGCAGTTGCAAAACTTATTGTGTTCTGTTTTCACCAATTTTCACCAAGATTGTGTAACTGATTTTCACCTGGATATTATGTCCACCCACATCCCAAACTTGCCAAATCAGGGGCATGAAGGGACAGTTCAGACTTTATGAAGTTGGGTTATATGAGGTACTTATCCATAGTCAGTGTATTACCAACAGTAGATAATGGTCAGTATGTCTCCAGTTTGAAGAGGAAGGCTGGGGTACCACCATAGAAGCTAGGCAATGTACTGCTGTGGACAGGGGTGGCAACAAAACATATTTTAGCCACCTAAAAGAATTGGTATCAATTTAAGTGTACGCTATAGTGAGAATGTTTTTGCTGTCAGAGCAGCCCATTGCAACGGTGAACTGAAGCTGTTGCATGGCTCTCTTCAAAGCCAGACTCCATTGACAAAAACAGTAATTTTACCTTGCTGAACACCGGAGCTGCTGGTCTACCTCTGCTTGGATTGGTTAGTTTGAGTCTGGTGGCTTTGAAGACAGCATAGATAAGTTTTTCTTTCAGTTGCCCGTCGAAAAGGGCTGTCTGAGGCCAAGGTAAAGCTATGACAATATTCTACATTCAGCGTACTGATATTGATATTTTAGGTGGCTAAAATGTGTTTACTGTTGCCCCCGTCCACAGCAGTACATCGCTTAGCTGTCGTTGAGACGCTTCTGTCACTTCTCCAAAGTTGGGGCATGTCGACCGCCATCTACTGTAGGTTAATACACTGACTATGGATAAGTACTTCATACAACCCCACTTCAAAAAATCCAAACTATCCCTTAAGCCAGCAAGTTTTGGGTGGGTGTTGATAAAACATCTTCATATTGCTTTGTATTGATTTCTAGCTGTTTTTAATGATGACATAGAAAGAGATGCTCTTCTCCTCAGGTGGTCTCGAGCCAATGAAAACCTCTTCGCCACCACTGGATGTCCAGGAAAGATATGCAGTCAGTTACTCATCCACCATCTTGGCCACCCACAGGTAAGTGAGATGTTTTTAACAGTCTGGATCTTTCTGTTGTTAATGTTCTCCACAGCTCCAGTCTCATATTACATACTGATGTCGTTACAGCCGGTGACGATCGGGTCAGCAACAGTAGGATCGGGCCTGAGCTGGCACCGGACGCTCCCACTCTGTGTGATCGGCGCTGACAGGAAACTTTGCTTTTGGATGACTGAAATGTAGACATCTGTACAGCACCTTTCATAGTGGACAACTTAAGTCCAACTCAGTGTTTCTATTCTAGTAAATGTCAAATAAAATAAATATTTTTCTGAGTATCTGCTGAGTAGGTATGGAGTTTGATGGAAGTTGGCTTCATCTTCAAGCTTTGTTCCTTTTATTTCTGACAACCCCTTCATGTCAGCTACAGATAAACAGCGGGCTGGTCAGGTCTCTGCGAAGAGCTCGTTTTTCTTTTCTCTTAAGAGTAAGTTACATCAGCTGTCTGTTATGTCCTGCCAAGAAAGCTGTGCTTCAAAGGAATGCATCGACGCATCTGAGCCAACTCTCCACTTCACCAGTCAACACGAACATCGTACTACAGGTGTTCTCTCTCTGAATCATATCTGTAATATATCTTCATATGGGCTGTTCCACCTGCTGTGGAGTACAGAACATCGACAGGAAGGTTAGGGTGGAGGTCTGGCTGCACTCCCACTGTTGGACAAACCCTGCAGGGGAGGCAGGGGTTATAAGTGCAATCATAAGAAGAGCTTTGGGAAGCATGAGAGCCATTTCAGGTCATCCCCAACTCTTTGGCATGCAAAGTGAGCGGTTCATGAGGATGCAGGGAGAGGAAGAGATGCGCATCATCTTACCTTGGTGTATAATTATCAATGCTCCACAGACCAAACATGGAAGACAAGGGATCATTTGGCAGGAACATGTAATTCCCCCCAGTGAAACAAGGACTCATTGTCCTGTCACAGGAATGCCATGTGTGAGAAACCACCATCTCCACTTTCAAGGCAGTCAAATGCCTGCTAAGCTGCAGAGGGCACTCATTTAATTAACTTGATCATGAATCATTCTAGGTGACAGCTGATCACTTGTTTCCACAGATGTACTTAATCTTCAAGGGTGCAGTATTGGAGAAATGTGCATTCATACTGGGATGTCCAACAGAGCAATTTATTGTACTTTATTAATGTATATGTCAGCTGGAACACTAGCGTGTATTGTACAGCAACGCCTCTGCACGACAAGCAGAGGCCTCGGAGACCTCCACTCTTTCAAACCAGTTCGTCAACCTCGTATATTTCTTGGACAGAACGCGTTAACCGCCATCCACAAAGCATAACATGCTACTGCTCTCCTGCGCCACGCTTTTGTTTGAACAAGTCCAATGTGGTCTCCACTCTCTACGTTTGCTGTGCGTTAGGTGCAAGTGGTGCCGGAGCAGCTGCGTATAACACGGGAGATGTCAACGTCAGATGCAAAGAAGCTGCCATTTTCATCTGTGGACACTCTGAACGGTTTCCAAAGAGTATAAAAGCTCCCTTAGAGGGCACTGGAATCGCTAACTGAGCCACTTTCCTCTGAAACATGAGTCATGAATCTCAGTGGTTTCACAAATCCCAGTGACTCAAGGACACCATCTGATGGCCGATGAGCAGAACAGCATCCAGATTGAACTCTTGTCTGTGAGCTTATTTCTGCAACATACGATCCATCTTGGAGATCTTACAAACTCACCTCTTTCCTGGAAGCACGTCTTCAGATGTCACTGCCCCGGGCCTCCATTTGATGTTACCTGAATGAAGCTATTGTGCCTCGCAAACAGTTTTGATCTCTTGTGGTGTGTGTGGACTAATAACAAACTGTGAAATGGATGAAAGAGAGATCAGACCGCCTTAAAATCCTCACCAACTTTCTCCTAATCTCCCCCCTCAGATAATTCTTCTGCGGCCGTGCCAACATTAAGCCCGGGCTCAACAAAGAAGAGAGCAAATAAAAATAATGAGGAGCATGATATGAAGGGAAACAAAGAAAGAGATTAGAGCTCTTTGAGGCCGGTGTTTGATTTAATCTCACGGCTGGTTTGTTGTGCAATGCTTTTCCCAGAATGAAACGATTTTGTTGGTCTTGATGAGTAGAAGAGAGTCAGCCGAAAAGTGCTCCATCACTTCTTTTGAGTAGTTTGTTGATCATCTAAACTGTTGCTGCCACAAAGTGTGTGACAGCTGGAGGATGAGGATTCGTCTGTATCACTTTCTAATAAGGCAGAAGTTTAACCAGTGGCTTTGATAATAACTAATGAATCACTTTCTGAGGCTTTATAATCCAGACATAAGTCATTAAGAAAGAAAAATGGTTGCAAGTGTTCCCTCTCCTCCAACTTGACCTCCTTTGGGCCATTTTTGATCACTTACTTCCTGTTTAAAGTTCTCCAGAGCATCTCAACCAAACTTGATAAATTATTAGAGCTCTTTGTTTTTGTTTATTAACATTAACAGTGGTGCAGTGGTTAGCATTGTCGCCTCACAGCAAGAGGGTTCCTGGTTCCAGGGTGGGGGGTTTGAACCCCGGGGTGGGGGAGCTCGTCTGTGTGGAGTTTGCATGTTTTTTTTCCGGGTACTCCAGCTTCCTCCCACAGTCCAAAGACATGCAGGTTAATTGGTGACTCTAAATTGTCCGTAGGTGTGAATGTAAGTGTGAATGGTTGTCTGTCTCTATGTGTCAGCCCTGTGATAGTCTGGTGACCTGTCCAGGGTGTACCCCACCTCTCTCCTAATGTCAGCTGGGATAGGCTCCAGTACCCCCATGACCCATAACAGGATAAGCGGTTATGGAAATTGGATGAATGAACATTAAAAGTATAGATGACCTCTTGACTTTTGCTGGTGGTTTACTAGAAAGCAGTGTTGTAGTACTCGGGATTGGTCTTGGCTTTTGGGAGACCACTTTTTGAAGGGCTCAGTCTCATCTTGGACCTGACCACATTTTTGCCTGTTCTTGTCTCTGTCTCTTGTCTCAGACAAAGAGGACTCGGGATTTTATTTCATGATTGGTCAAAACCATAACTGCAGGGATTTCGCTAAATTGCCATGAAGGATTTTTGGATAAAGATGGTTAAGTTGATTTCAGCTCCTTAGTGTTTGTATTTGCTCACTCACAGAAAACAAAGTAAAATTTCCAGAGATAAAATTCATCTCTGCAATGCTTTTTGATTATTTTATTGAGACATTTCTCATAATATACGTATATACACACACATATATACAGTAGAATATGGCAATAAAAGAGGTGAATGGTGAGAAATCTTCAGTTGTTTTCTGTTGGTAATTTTATGGGAATCTGGTTCTTTCAGATCAATTTGAGTATTGCTTATGGTTTCCATGTTCCACAGTTTATCATAAGTGTGTCATGCCATATGGGACTCACACTGGTCAATTCTTGACTCTGTCTCGCCATGCCTTGGTCTTGGTCTTAAATTGGTCCCAACCCCTCAAAGTCTTAGTTTTGTCTCAATCTCGATACAATCAGGTCTTGATCATAACTTGGTCTTGGTTTGGGTGATCTTGACTGCAACACTGCTAGAAAGTGAGAAACTTTTGGGTTGTAGCTGCTGCGGAAGTGGGCCAATCAAACATTGCACCAGTAGCCTTTTTTTTTCCTCGATCTGGGTACAAAAATGATCGAATGCAGGTGTCATTTGAATGGAAAAGTTTTGTTACTACTTGGTCCCAGGTTATTTCGGTCAATACCTCAAAGGAATGGAGTGCTGATACCCAGTCCTCAAGAAAAGCGTTGCATCAAGCATCCTTTTCAAGGCGGTCTGACTTTTTGAGTGGCCGCTCCGGGTGCTTCCAGTTGAAAATCTCTTCAGAGGTCGCTGGTGTCCTCAGTGTTTTTCTTCCAGAAAAAAAACCCTCTATATTGACACTCAGCCTTATTATTCCTCTTTGACCTCCGTGGGACATAAGCCTCTATCATTCCTTACCCTTGGTAAGATTAAGAACCTTACCCTCCTACAGGAGCTAGCTAGTCAGTTCTTAAGTTTTAGGGCTGTAGCAGGTCATCTTGGTCTTTCTTTTGCCTGGAGAAGTCCATCTCAGTCCATCCTCTGGGTCCTGCCTCTTCTTTATGTGTGACAATGTCATGCTTTTCTGTATAATTCCAAGGTTGTGATCTTGTTAGGCCAGGAGATGCCACATAAACCTCTCAGGTATCCACTGTTGGAACGCCTCAATCTTTTTCATGGTGCCAGCATTCAGACACATACAATAGGACGACCTTGTTATGTAGATTCGTGGTTCCTAACCTTTTTCCTTCAGGGACCTTTTCTATTATTGGCTAATCTAAATCTGAACGCAATAACTGCAGGAAGTTTCTGTGAAAGGATGAATTTTGAGCACATTATTTCTGGGTTGTGGTTGTCTGCCAAAAGCTGTCATTAATTTACTTTTTATCCATATTTAAGCCTCATTTTCACACACATTCTTTTTTATCTTGGTCGTTTCATTTTCATCTATATGTTTTAACTGGATAAAGGATTTTAGTCGATGGACATCTGGATCTTAAATGATCAGACAAACAAGCTAAGCAAATGTTAGTGGCAGCTCAGCTCCAGCCCCTGCTTTGCCAAACAGCGTTGGAGAAACACTGATTTGTCACAGAAAACTGCTTTATTCAGCATTTTTACTGGTTTAAATCACCAGATCTGTTTGTTTTGGAGGGGATGAGCCCTCTATGGATAATTCGGCTTCGGGTAAAAACCTTCTAAACGTCTGGATCTTAAGTAATCAGAGGAAAAATGTGAGCACGTATGAACAGGTGCTGGGCTAGCATCCCTTGAGCGACAAGTCGAACAGCATCAGAGAAACAGTGATTTTTCAACATGAAACTGCTTTGTTTGGTGTTTTTACTGGTTTTAATAAAGTGGTCCATTTGTTTTGGAGAGGAAGTGACCTCTATGGATAATTTGGCTCCTGGTAAAAGCCTCGGACGATGAACACTGAAGGAATCCTAACCAGGAGAAACTGATTGCAATGTCTTTTGTTATTGTTTTGATTGAGAGGCTCCAGCCATCAGACAATGACTTACTGTACAATCAAACAAAAGAGGTATGACTTGTTTATCAGTCAGCTTTATAGGTATTGGAAGGCAGGTTTTTCAGTTTGGACCAGGCCGGGCTAACTGTTTCTGTTCCTGAGTCCAAACACTTTTTATTTCCCAAACCGTTAAACCATGTTTCCCGTTAATGGCTGATCACTGATCTATGAAGCACCGGTAAATGATTTGTTGACTATTAACAAAGCTATTAGTTCTTTATCAG